GCTGTATGAATTCAGAGATGTAAGGTAGGATTAACAAGAAGGCTGATCAAAACATACATTAGAGGGGAAACACCTTACTTATATATCGTGTTGTGAATGAAATTGCATGGTTATAACTTCATAATGATGTTGTATGTTTACGATGTAATTTTTGTCTTTCTCCATAGTTCTGTAATAGATATTTATATCATTAAAAGAGCAGGTAATGCTGAAAAGCTGTTTGATTTGAACAGGTAATACTGAAAAGCTGCAAGTGTTTGAAAAGTTTTTGCAAGTTTTTGAAAAGCTGCAATTTTTTGAAAAGTTCAGTTTTAACAACTTAGAGACCAGTCGCACGAGGGGGATAGGGGCAGGGACTGGAAAGAAAAGTTAAGGGTTTTTTAGTTATTTTGAGTTAATTTTTTAAATAAAAGAATAATTATGTGTTAGCGAATCGAGCCGGGTATCAGTCGTGCGCACAAATTAGATCGTCGCATTTGGGTCAGTGTATCTCGTACCGATCAGATCGCCGCATTAGGGTGTGTATCTTCCGCCAATCAAATAAAAAAATTGGGGTATGTTTGCACCAATCAGAGAGTCAGAGTACTGTCCCCCATGTTAATCATATAATGGAATTATGCTCTCCTAAAGTGTTGCAATGGAATCAACCCAACATTGATGCACACTTAGGATGACATTAACAAAAAATTGTGATCTATCCACTGAACTAATTTATTTCCTTCGTGTGAACCTAGTCGCTATAATCTGTTGGGTTTACAAAAGTCAGCAGAGATTTTTTCTACCATTGAAAAGTTAAAGCGTGTCTTGTGTACTGCTCCTTCACTTACAACGCACACACCGTCAGGAAAAGGCCTAACACGAAGTTATCACTGAAGCGTTTGTTTCGGAAGGGCTAGTTTTGCTGACTCTGGCAAAATTTGCGCAAAGCATTTGCATAACATATATCTGATCGATACCGTTGTCTTTTTCCAATAAACAGCCCAATTGTTACGACATAATGACAACCCACTAAGAAAAATTTCATGTGAAACTAAATGTTATTGTTAGTAAATTTCCCATGCAACTTTCACATGCTTTGACATTTTCTACTAATCAATAAGCTTTGTGCTTCACCCCGTCACGCGTCATTTCCTTGAAAACAACCTGCATTTTAAATTTTATCACGCATTCCACACGCTGGGTGCAAAGTCCAGATGTCCAGATAGGCAACACCCCCCCCTCCCTCCTTCCCCTCCCGTTGTAATGCTCAGGTGACCGCCTCCCGGTTAGCTCAATAGTCCTTTTCACAGTTGTGGGCTTGGTGGCCAAGCCTTTGAACAGGAGTGAGGCTAAGGGTAACCTTGTTATGATACAGATGTTGCTGCTTTTGAAATGCAAATTTCTTGGTTATCATGCTAACTAGATACTGGTCTCTATCACAACAATGTCACCCTCAGCCTTACTTCAAATCAAAGGCTTGGAAACTAAGTACACAACTGTAAAATGGTCTCTTGGTTAGAGCGCCGGTAAGTGTTGTGCGGGAGGTCGAGGGTTCGAGCCCCGGCCGGACCAATACTCACGGTCTTAAAATAAGTGAGGAGAATTTGCAACCTTTCTATAATCAAGAAATGGATAGATATTCTAGTCTTCTCGGATAAGGACGAATGAGCCGTAAGTCCCGTCTCCTGCAGGGTTAGGGGTAGGAGACGTTAATTTCCCACGCACAGATCACTGTGTGGTGGATGTCCTCCCCTGGGTGCGATGGGTGGGTGTTGGCCTTGAAAAGCCCTTATGGGGAGTGGTCAATTAACATATGTATATATGTATGTATGTATGTATGTATGTATGTATGTATGTATGTATGTATGTATGTGAAAGCCTTTGGAATATGATTCTTTTCTCTTTGCTCAATGTATTTTCACTTATTTCAGAAATGGAGACCGCGAGACATCTTTGGTTAAGGTCTCCTAGAGATAAAATGGAGTTGTGATTTGCTTCCCACCGCAAAATTAAAAACGCACGTGCAGTAATGAGGGCTCACACGCAAGCTAGAGAAGTCTCATTCGCATTCGCTGTTTGGTCTCGTCACGCCATGAGGATGGCGGAGAGAGCGCGTTGCGTGACGAGACCAAACAACTGCTGGGAAGGAGACCACAGTAAGTGTGGCACAACTGCAATTTAATTCTGTCAACAGTTTATTTCTGACAACAGACCATAAAATACCTGTGTCTGAGTTTATTTCATAGAAATTGGAAGAGTCTGTTTTACTCTCTCGAACCGTATTTTTGTCGGAAACTTTAAAAGTTCATGCTATTTTTCTCTTACGAAATTAATAAATTTTGGTACTACAAATGTCCAATCTCAACCCACTCATCCGAAAAAAACAACTTTTGCACGCGTAGCATGCCTGTGTTTCTCTTAGTGAATTTTCCTTGCATGGCTTCCCAACTTTAATTTATTGATTATTCTATCGGATTACTGCTGATTGACGGCTAGATATACTGCTTCAACGCTATTGGATTGCAAACTTATATCGAAACCTCCTGCTTTTCTCAGAAACGCATTTCCGTAAGACGCTGCTTCGATCAGTAAAACGATCTGTTAATTACTTAGACTGGAGACGTTTAGTCGATGAAAGAACCAAGAACATGACTTCAGGACATAAACTGCTGTTTTGGATTCTCGTTTTCTCGTTAAAAGAAGCCATAGATGGTGAGTATGGGAAAATAAATCTTACTCATGTCATCAGCTCATAAGTATATCAGTTTCTCGAACACTGAAGGACCTTTTTTAAGCGCAGTCTTTACTACCGTAACAAAACCACACAAGACGGTCTGAGTAGATCAAACTGATTTTAAATGACGCAAGAAGGAACTTAAGAAAAGCTACCATCGTTGTAAAACGTAAGCAAACGCAGCTTACGACCTCATTAACGACGTTCTTCTGTTTGGCAACTCACTGAAGGAACGGATTGAATATAATTGATTATACGTATGATGCACGATCCTCGCAGTAGAAAGCGATATTTATGCAGTAGCAAAAATCAGACCTGAAAAAAATCAGGCCTGTACGGGATTCGAACCACTGACCTCTGTGATACTAGTGCAGCACTCTACCAATTGAGGTAACAAGCCAACTGGGAGCAGGCCGTTAAGTTGATTCCTAATATCAAGAGGTCCTGAGCTTGTAAGTGCTGGTCTTGACACTGAACTACTGAATTAAAGTAACTAACTGTACCTCTTTTATAAAGAATTGAACGATAACAGGAAATTCTTATGATTTTGAAGTTAGGTGTGATAGTGTGACCTAAAGGAAATTTATGATGCAAATCCTGTGTAGGATGATTTGATTGTCACAGGAAATAGTTTCTGCATATATAATTCTAAAACTATGACGAAAATATCGCAATGTCATGTACAATTGTAAGCCTGGTCAGACACGTAAATGCTAGGGGCACGTTTATAATGTTCTTTGGCTTCTTGCAGTTCACCTAATTCATACTGTACTTTGCCAAGGTTTTGGTAGGTACGCGCAACATCAACATGGTCGGTTCCAAGCCTTCTCTTGCAAATGCCTAGAGCACGTTCATAATTTTTTTTGGCTTCTTGAGGGTCGCACATACCACACAGTAAATCAGTCAAGTTGTCACAGGTACGCGCGACAGCAATATTCTCGGATCCAAGGCTTTTCAGGTTAATCTGTAACGCTTTCATACAAAGCTCTTTGGCATGTGGCAGATCACCCTGTGGCAGGGCACGCTCTAACTTTCCCAAGTTTTCATAACAAATGGCAACTTTAACATGGTCAGGTCCAAGCTTTTTCTTGAAAATGACTTGTGCACGGTTACAAAACTTTTTGGCTAGTTGTAAATTACCAAACTCATAGTGCACAGGGGCAACATTTTGGAGTGTCCGCGCGACACTGGCATGCTCAGTTCTAAGCTCTGTCTTGAAAATGTCGAGAGCGCGATCAAGACACCTCTTGGCCTGGTGCAGGTTACCAAACTCACGCTGTACAATATCCAGGTTTATGTACGTATTTGCGACATTGACATGCTTACTTCCAAGCTCTGTCTTCAAAATTTTGAGAGCACGATCAAGATACTTCTTGGCCTGTTGCAGGTTACCAAACTCACGCTGTACAATACCTAAGCTTAGGAAAGTCTGTGCGACATCGGCATGCTCACTTCCAGGCTCTGTAATAAAAATTTCGAGAGCGCGATCAAGAAGCTCCTTGGCCTCTTGCAGGTTACCAAACTCACGCTGTACAATACCTAGGTTTAGGTAAGTCTGAGCGACATTGGCACGCTTTCTTCCAAACTCTTTCTTGAACATGTCAAGAGCACGATCGAGAGACTTCTTGGCCTGTTGCAGGCTACCCAACTCACGCTGTAGAGTACCTAGGTTTAGGTGCGCATGTGCGACATCAACATGGTCAGGTCCACATATCTTCTCGTAAATTACAACAGTATAATGAGAATATGTCGAGGCCTGTTGTAGATTACCCATTTTATCCTGTGCAATACCTAAGTTGTGGAAAGCTGTGTAGTGCATGCAATAAACCCAATCATTTTGCTGAAATGTGCAGGAGTGTCTCTAGTAAAAACAGCCGAAAACGGAATGCTGTTAACATGGTCACCTCTGAAGATTCCTCCGAAGAAGAATTGCTGTCAGTATCCTTTGATTCACATGAAGGAAATGTACATGCAGTCGATGAAGACAATTTTCCTGAGAAGAAAATCTTTGCGACAATGGAAATTGCAGGAGCAAATATTCAAATGCAAATTGACACGGGTGCCTCATGTAATGTTTTACCTCAGAAATATGTGCTCTCAGGAACACTCATTACTAAGACTGACCGTACTTTGAAGATATTTAGCAAGTCTACTTTGCCTGTCTTAGGAACATGTAGAGTGAGCATGCGTAACCCAAAGAACAGCAAGAAGTACAATGTCGAATTTCTCGTTGTGAAAGGCATTTATACATCGTTGATCGGATCTCGTGCTTCCGAGCAAATGAACCTGGTAACAGTTCACCAAGAAAACACTCAGCAAATTACCACTGACGCTCAAAGTCTCACCCTGAATCAAGTAACAGAAGAGTTTGGAAAGGTGTTTAAAGGACAAGGCTGTATGGAAGGAAAACTGCACCTCAAAATTGACGCAAAAGTTACACCAGTGATTAATCCACCTCGTCAAGTCCCGTTTGCACTCAAAGATAAGTTGAAGTCTGAACTAGACTGGTTAGAGAGACCACAAATGATCCGGAAAGTAAAAGAGCCTACTGAATGGGTGTCAAGCCTCGTAGTGGTGGAAAAGCCGAATGGAAAGTTGAGGGTTTGCATCGACCCAATCCACTTGAATAAGGCGCTGAAAAGATCGCACTACCCTTTACCCGTAATAGAAGACGTCCTTCCTGAGCTATCCAATGTCAAAGTTTTCAGCAAAGCCGACCTTAAAGATGGTTTCCTACACATTGAGCTTGATGACGAGTCATCTTTATTGACCACCTTCCAGACATCGTGGGGACGCTACTGTTGGAAGCGTATGCCCTTTGGAATTTCACCCGCTCCCGAGCTGTTCCAGCAAAAGCTTGACCAAAACCTAGAAGGGCTACCCAGTGTACACAAGTTCTTCGATGACCTGCTTATAACAGGAAAGGGTCCTACCCTCTCAGAAGCAACCCAGGACCATGATAAGAACTTAAGAGGTCTTTTAGAAAGATGCCAAGAAAGGAACATGAAGCTCATTAGGGACAAGTTCATGTTCAAGTGCTCCAAAGTTTCATTTATCGGTCACTTATTGACTAGCGAAGGATTGAAGCCTGACCCACAGAAAGTAGAAGCTATCTGCAACATGCACAAACCTGAAGATGTTTAAGCTGTACAGCGCTTTGTTAACACAGTGAAGTACCTCTCAAGGTTTTTAGAAGACTGTCCGATATGTCTGAGCCCCTCCGCAGACTTACACATAAAGGTGCTCCTTGGAAGCGATCTCACGAGCAAGAAGAAGCCTTTACAAAGATCAAGAAAGCTGTGTTCACTGCTCCAGTGTTAAATTTTTTCACTCCAAATGAGTCGGTTGAGGGTGAAGGAGTTGCTTCCGAGAAAGGAATTGGCTTCGCCCTTATGCAAGATGGTCAGTCTGTAACCTATGCGAGCAGATCTCTCACGAAAGCTGGGCAAAACTACTTACAAATCGAAAAAGAGCTACTTGCACAGATCTTTGGCATGGAGCATAATCACCAATATGTATACGGCAGAAAGGTTACCCTGTGATCAGACCACAAGCCTTTAGAGATAATCGTTAAGGAACCCCAGGCTGCAGCTCCAAACGTTTACAGCGTCTTATGATGAGATTAACGCAGTATGATGTGGAAATCAAGTGCAGACGTGGCCCTGAGATGTATCTTGCCGATACACTTTCCAGAGCGTACTTGCCTCAGGAACACCACCCAGGAAAGGTATATCAAGAAGTGGAGAGGATCCATTCTGTGAATTTCCTATCAATATCTGAGCCACAGATCCAAGAAATCCGCGAAGAAACTGCCAAAGATCCTGTCCTGCAGACTCTCAAAGCGACGATTCTAAATGGTTGGCCTAATCAAAGAAAGGAGCTGCTTCCTGAACTGCATGAGTACTTCAAAGTCAAGGACGAGTTGGCGACACACGATGACATTATTTTCAAGGGTCCCAAATGCGTCACCCCGAAAAGTCTAAGACCCAAGATCAAAGAAAAGCTCCACGATCCCACATCGGTATTCAAGGTTGTTTAAGAAGAGCTCGTGAAGTGGTTTACTGGCCCAACATAAACAGAGAAGTGACAGAATTCATCTCAAAATGTGAAACGTGCAACACATTGCAGTCTGCCCAACAGAAAGAGCCTCTTATTTGCTATGAAATCCCACAGAATTCCTGGGAAAAGATTGGTTGTGACATCTTCACATTTAATAATCAGGACTACCTGTGTACCGTCGACTACTTCTCCGATTGTTTTGAGATTGATGAGCTACGCAAGTCAAAGACAGGTGCCACAGTGATTGGAAAGATCAAGAAACGTTTTGCCACCCATGGAATTCCAGATACATTCCACAGTGATAATGGTCCACCCTTTTCTTCAAATGAGTTCTCAGCCTTTGCAACAATGTACGAGTTTGAACATGTCACCAGTTCGCCGGAGTATCCGCTGAGCAACGGCAAAGTGGAAAATGCAGTCAAAACAGCAAAAAGCCTGATGAAGAAATCTGCTATTACAAACTCGGATTTTCAGCTTGTATTGCTAGATTGGCGAAATACACCAACAGAAGGTATGAAGAGTTCACCAGCACAACGAATGTTCAGCAGGCGCACAAGAACACTGCTGCTGACCTCGAAGAAACTCTTCAAACCCCAGTTAGTCACAGATGTTAGAGAGAGAAAGTTACCGAGGAAAGAAGTTCAGACACGTTATTACAATCAAAATGTCAAAGAACTTTCCAGCCTTGTTAAAGGTGACGTAGTACGCATGAAACCGCAAGCCTCTGACAGATAGCAGAGATGGACCAAGGCACAAGTTGAGCAACAAGTAGATGTCAGATCCTACGCCATTAGAACAGAAGATGGCAGGTTGTTCCGAAGAAACTGGAGACATCTTCGACAGTTCAAGGAACCTTTCATGCCTAAGGATGGGGCCATTGAAATTCTAACTCCAATTCTGAACAGTTCAACAACCAAAGCCAGCACAGAAATCTTATCAGGAGAGAATAGCACAGGATGCCCAACAACACTGTTCAGAAACCAACCAGAGCCGAGATCACCTGCTCCCCGTCCAGCCCCATTGACTGAGCGCCAAAAGAGCAATGTGGTCACACGCAGCGGACGCTCTATTCGTCCCCCTGGCTACTTAAAAGACTTTGTTCAGACCTAGATCTTTACATTTATTCGTTTGTTTTGCTTATTGTTCGGCCGAGTTTGTGACGAACATTATCGTTATGTTTCTCAGATTATTTCCGTGCTCACCTGTGCGAATATTTTATTGGAACCGTTCATAGTTTCATTTTCTTTATAGTTCCAGTTGTTTCTTTAAAAAAAAAAAAAAAAAAGAAGGAAAGGTGTAACGTTATTGTGTCACGAGATCGCTACAGGATAGACACATTTCATCTCTTTTCATATCATTTCCACTGTCTAGCCATTTTGTAAATATTTGTTGGGTAAACATTTCAGAATCAATTGGCTGACTACACTCAAGATATCTTTCGATTTCGTGTCGTCTCGGCTTATCTGTGAAATCCACACGTTTCGGTGATCTTCTGTTAACTGTTTGTAACTTTCACCGTTCTTCTCCACAACGATAGGTATACGGAATAAACTAATACCTTCCTTGTCTCCAGATTTTACTTCACAGCCAGGTATTATACAGAGAACCATCGGACTACAACTCACACACATCTCTCTCTACACGTCTCTGTTTACTTTTAGAGGGGCTCCACAATGGCGGTCAAGGACTAAATGCTGCCAAAAAAACTCAATACATAACACGAGGCAAAACACTGCTGGTACATTTCTTTGCGAACCTAGCTCGTGAAATCTCTGATGCGACGTTTTTGTAGGACGTGAACACACGACGACGATTGATTTCCTGACAAACTGGGTAATATGAGATAATATAAAGCATGAAACAACAGGAAATAACGCGCACAGCCTCAAGTAATGGATACCGTATTTCCTTGAATAAGTGCCCACCCCTCGGCCATTCAAACTTGTAGCTCTGAATAAGCGCGACACCGGAGCCCTTTCTTTTTCAGCTTTCATAACATTTTAAACTTTTACTACCTTAGATGAATATGTTGGGAGAGATTCTTGCTTTAAGAGTTATATTACGCTGATGTATTAGCTTTCCTTTTTATATGGCTGGCGTCGCAAGCGGTGCAAGATGCAGCGAGTTCTGCGAACTGATTGGCTATTAACCCTTGCTTACTTTTCGTTTTCTGCGGTGGCCAGCATTGCAGCCATTTTGTCCTTGTGTAACCTGCAGGCAAGCTCTCGCTTGGCTCTTAACGCTTGGCTCAGGTTTGAGTCCTCCTGCTTGGTCAAAAACGCATTACTGGATCTACTACCGCGCTCCATGTTAATTTCCAAACCACCCTAGCGCACAGCGCTTGACTCAGTATTTAAAGTTGGTTTTTCGGAAAAAGTCAACGTCCCACCCCTCTCAAGAAGCTTTTAGAAAATAAAAATTCAAAGACTTTCCAAGGATTGGTTGAATTCATTGGGGGGACTTGCCCTGAAATTCACGGACTTGCAAGACAGTACGAACCCTGTTAAAGTTCAAGGGAGTTTAAACTTGCTCGTAACGTGTCATTAAACGAAAGTTGGTGTTTGTCTGTTTAAGCTAATTTGTACTTCCTCCTCTTTCGCATTCTTCAGCTACACATTGCACGCCTTCGTAAGCTTTGTCAGCTTGTTCAACATCTATCTTGATTTGAAAACAATTATTACTACACTCGGTCTCTGTTTATTCACCATTTTAATCATCGTTGCGGAGGAGGTGGCCGGCGCAAAGAAAATTTCAACACCAGTGCCTTAATCACTTCGTACCTATAATGTCTGTAATCTCTCGCAACTATCTAGAGGATTCCGGCACCAATATAAGTCATCTGAAGGCCAGTGACAAAGAATCTTATGAGTACTGCATGAATATAGTTTAAAAAACTGGAACGGTGTGTAAACTATAAATGCGACATAAAAT